ATTGCACGAAGTTTCAAAGCTTCAAGAGCTTTACTTTAATAATTACGCCAAGTATCCATGGCAACTTTTGCGCAAAAGTGACAATTTTCGTTTTTACGAAGTAACACTCAAGTTCCATTTTCCATTGCAATGCATGGCGCGCACTCTGCTCATCAGTGAGCAAAAACGTTTTCACGAAGTAACACTCTTCTTGTAACAAGTTGTATGAGCGCGCACGCGCTGACCTGAAGTTGCACTTTCCTCGTGTTAAATACATTGAAGAGTGTTACTTCGTGAAAACGAAAATTTACAGTTTCGCAGCTTTTTCGGTTTCACGAACTAGCACTCATCTTTTTTCTCTTATTTCTTGTTTATTTAATACACAAACGAGTGAAAAATAGCAGATTTAATAAATTCAATTCATCAACTGCCACAACGAGAAACCCAACTGAAAATACTCTGTCGTTTTGACACGAAGTGTTGTTTTAGAAGGCGTTCAACTTCAATTTTTCTTCCAGCAGCCTATTCGAGTCAATCTTTGTTGATACCACCAATTCGTTTTCTCATCTAGATACTAGTGACAAGTCAAGTCCACGCAAGTCCACGACCACCACTGTCACGCTCACCACCAATACCCGAATCTACCAACAAAAAACCTGTGAACATGAAAGTGTTAACTGTCAATATAAAGTGCAAAGAACAAAAAGGAAGACATAATCAATTTAATTCATTCTTCTGATCCAACCATCATCATCTTCTGATCCAACCATCAAAACTGGCTGAACCGTAGTATACACTCATCGGAAAGCTCATATGGAGAAGTTTTGTCTCATTAGAGAGCGCCCTCTATAGTCCGCTCTCGATAGACGTACGTAAAAAGAATAGCGGCATTTTTTAAAAAAGTCATTAAAAAAATCAAGGGAGTGTCTTTTTCAATACCACATGCAGATAGGAAGAGTACATGAATTAAACTTTCATTTGATAAAAAGTTGTGTATTCAATTGATAACTTAACTCACCGTACCGAGCCTCGATAATCATTCAGTTGAGACCGCTCATAGCCAATACACTGAAAATGTCATCCGATTTTGAGGTCTATATTTAGAACAATACGTTGAGCATTATGCTAGCACACGTTGGGAAAGAAACTTCATTGATCTAAGATTAGTCTCGATCGGTCAGAATTTCTGACATCAGGGAAAATCCCACCGTACCCATCCAATCAAAAGACACAGTAAAACTTGTTTACTCAAGGAAATCATGAATATGGATGAGAAACGGTTGGACGAGACCAATTATTTGAGTGGGGAGAATTTTCTGGTCGATTAAAAGAAAAATAAATACATCACTAGTGGTGTGTTATGAAGTCTCGTACATCCGTTCTTGTTAATAACCATACTCAATTTTGTAGTTTGTACCCAGATATTTGAACCAGAAATACCACAAAACAAAGATTTTGTTCTGTAGTTTAGTTGTGTATGCGCGCGAGTTGTCTGCATATGCCAGCGCACGGTTACAATAATACACGTAGGTACTGCATGTATTGCAAACACACACAACAAACCATCACAAAACAAGCGCAAAGCTAGGCCGCGCGCGCCATGTTTGTACTAAGGTCACGTCAATGTTTGTAGGCTAAAGCTAGGCCTATGCTATGCATATGCTATGCATGCTATGCGCGGGATGCATGACTCCTTCTGTGTACATGTATGTATGTCGTGGGCCCGCGACTGTGTTCTTTGCACTCAGAATTTAGCACTCGTCGTGGTAAAAAAAATATATATCAGAGAGTTGAGGAAGCAATACTGTATAGACAACACACTGTATGGCTACTTAGAGATTTGAGTATTTACAAGGCCTAGTGAACAGGGGAAGATTGTTTAAAAAAAACCGTCTAAAATAATGTACACTGAAAATCTAAACTGTAAGTAGCTTAATACAAGTCAAATTGCTGTCAGCTGGATTTTTTTTGGGGGGGGGTGATCATGCAATTATCTTTATTGCTGAAAAGGGCAACGGTTGTTCATGCAATCACTCCCATCAAATTCTCAACAGTTTGCTCCTTTGAGGCAAAAATAAGAAAACCACTCGCTTAAAAGATTGAAACTGAAGCAAGAAAATTTAAATGACAACATTAACATTCTTTATTTCAGAAGATCAATTCAAAAGCACATCAAACACAAAAATAACAATTTCACAATCTGGCAGATGCCAGTAAAAATTCTCAAACTTCAAAAAATTAAATTTTCATGGAACCCATGAAATATCACTTACATTCAAAATTATTACTGATCCAGTCTTTATTGCTCACTGGTTTCTTTGTGCATTTTCTATTACATTGTGGCCCCAGGCTCTGTTTACAAGAACTGCTTATTAATGTGTTTCATCAAGTTAAGTTCACAAAGTATCAGGATAAATGCAATCTACACTCAGTGAATGGGTGTCCTATTGCTCACTGGTTTTCTTTGTGCATGTTCTAACATTGTGACCCCTCTGTTTACAAGCACTGCATACTAATTTGTTGGGTTTCATTAAGTCAGGAGTGTTGATATTTTCAAAATACTCCACTCGGTTTTGCTTGTCCATGAGCTGAGAGAGGGCTTACACCTTTCTATGATTGGTGCTTCTGAAATATGACTTCGTGGTCATGTCGTTCAGCTTCTCTAGACCTTGCTGGGTAAACTGAGAAATTGCTCCAAAACGTCCCAGCAATTCGGGAACGTGTGCAACAAGGACGTGGATGTAAGGTGTGACATGCCGCTTCTGGTATATTTCACAGAATTTAGTGAACCAGTTGTTAACCCTCTCTTTATATGCAAGCACTTCTGATGCATTGTAAGAACCCTCTGTAGATGAGAGTTTACAAGCTAACTGGTAAAACTCATCCCAAAGATACTGAATGTTCTGCACTTTAGTCTCTTCCAAGTTTAGAAAGATTTGAGAAATCTTGATGTTAGGGAACAGTTTATGTTTCTGTGGGCCATTCAAAGTTGGCCACTTCAGAGCCTTGGACTCTCTACCTATGTAGAAATGAAATCCTGTTATGCCTACTGATGCAAGGAAATTTTCCAATCGAGCACAGTGGGTGAACTTTTCCCTGTCAAATTCTGTGAATTTTGTCATCTTATATACTGCATCAAGCCTTCGGGCTTCCAGAATAAGCATATTCATCAGAGTATCAGTAATCCTCAGGAACAAATGCAAGTTATCAACAACTACATGAGAGATGGGTATTGTTGGGAAAAGTGGTTGGTTTGAGCAATTAAACTTTGCCTTTGATTTCTTAGGTAGTTTTGTACCTCTCTCTATTTCAGCAATTGATCTGTATTTACAACTCTTGTCAGGCATTTCATAATTCTGGTTAGACAGATAAAACATGTCTGAGGGGCATTTACAAATGCATGGGAATTTGCAAGATGCACAGTCAATCCCCAACACACAAAGAAGGAATTTGTAGTCACCACCTAGATGATATGACACTTTGTACAAGTAGTCGCCCACAAGAATTTCTGTGTTCTGTGAAACAGCTTGTATTAAATCTGCCAAGTGGGTTTGGAGAGCGGAGTAACCTTCCTTATCTTCAAATATAGCAAGTAGATAATTGCCACTACCTGACATAGCCCGGTCTTCATTAAGTATAGTGAACGTTACATTTACAACATGCAGATGCTTGCCCACCCAAGTACCATCTCCTGACAATTTTACCCGCACTTTATCTCCCTCTTTTATCTTTCCCTGTCTTTGAGGAACCTCAACCCTTTCTTTTAGCAGCTGAACAAAATCTCTCTGAAATCCAATTGCCTGTGCAGGCGTGGGTCTCACTGTGCTTGTTAGTTGCTTTATTTGTGCTTTTTTATTCTTGATCTGGTTAATGCTTGGTAAATCACTTGCTGTACACAGGGCGTGATATGCTTTATCAGAGATGGAAAACTTGTCTTTAATATACAACAAGACATTAACCTTATCCGCTGCATTTGAAATGCCAGAAACTGAAGGCGGTTGATCATTCAGTACACAAATATGCTCAGCTTTCTTTGTGTGAGTATTACGTAAGACAAGGGATGAAACTTCCAATCCTTGAAAATCTAAACAGCCAAGAGCAGCTTTACAGTCATCCTTTAACTGTTTCTTTAGGCGAAATGCCTGAGCCCTACTGTATGGCTTGTATCTTTGCACACTTGAAGTTCTGTATTTGCATACTATGCGTTTCGATATTTTGTTGCATTGGGTTTGCAACTTCTCAAACTGGATTGTTTTTTGTGACACTACCTCAGTTAAGTCAATGACTTGTTTCTCAAGTTCTGCTACCCTCGTCATCAAACTTAGATTAAAAAACTCATCATTGAACACCTTGAATTTCCAGATTCTGTTCTTTTTTAACCATAAGTTAAACAAGTCTTTTTGCTTTCCTCCCTTCCAAGATTTTCGTACCTGTTGTTTGACTCTACTTATTTTTGTCTGTATCTGCTTGTGAACTCTTCCTGTATATTTCAATTGAACATTCGAGTAGTCACATATTAGTTTGAAAACTACACTTTCTACATTGCCAGATGAATCTGTTTGGCTTGTTTTTACAGCATCACATATTATTTCAGTTGGAACCTTCAGAAGTGTGTGCGGGCGATTCATATTTTCTTAAAGTTATGGTACAACCTTTTATAATTTGCCAGGAAGAAACTTTTAGTAACACAGGTAACAAAATGTTACATTAATTGAATCAATCAATAACAACAACTACATGTCTGAAAATTACTGGCTTAAAAAGGTGAACTATATCTTTATGTTTCCTACATTAAATGAGAAAATCATCAAATGGCCCTATACTCAGTGTCTCCATGGCAGATCACAAGGGATCTTGTCTGTGACTTCTGCTTCTGTAGCATCTCCACGAACGAATTGGAACTTCACAAAGTTACCTTCATGGCTGACTATTTCCTTCCCATGAATGTCATACTCGTATATGGGCCGATGTTTATGAAGGGAAATGGTGGCTGTTCCAGGAATCACATAGCAGCATTCTCTGCTCTTGTTGAAGCGTTCCATTCAACCAGTACCAAGTACATCATTAAGTTCACTGTTTGTGGGGTATCTGATTTTATTCTGAGTACCAAAAAAATGTTCATACACATCAAACTGAATGTCACGAGTGATTGAAATATGAGGGTCAGCTTTCCTCTTCCCAAGTAGATTACGTTTTATGTCTAGTCTTAAATTCGCGCAAAACAGTTTCTGCCCATCATCTAGAGATGAGGGTGTCGAGAGGCATTGGATGTTGATGACATCTGCACATTGAGATCTGGGCAACCACTCGTTGTATTTAGAGTCCCATCCCGGGTAGGTTACAAAGACCTTGTCATCTGCTTCTTTTAGAATCTGAAAAAGACAAAATGTGTCTTTGTAAATTTAACAGTATTTACTATAGGCAAAACAAAAATGAACGAAATGGTTATTTGATTATGCAGCTCATAATATGTCAGTAACTAACCATGGGGCCTTATGAGCAGTACTAAATCAGGTTGCAAACACAAGTTTTTCTCAAGTATAAATGGAGTTGGCACCACACAGTTACATTTCTTTGCTCTCATAGGTGACAAAAAAAAAATTGCACTTGAGGAGACACCCCCACCACCCCCGTGACATTGTTTTTTATAACATATGCACTATTATTCATACACGTTAAGAACTTATGTTTATGAAATCTTTGTAGCTGCTTTAGTACCCAATAATACGATCTGTATTTGTGACCTGGAAAAAAACTTTCGTGAAAACTCCAAACATTTAATTATTAAATTGCCAAAGTGTAGTGACCAGGAGAACAGGCTAGAAAAAAAATCTGAATGAAGTTTTCCCTACGCAAAAATGACACAATAAGTACAAAATGTACCAGTACATGCACTGTACTTAAGTTAAGTTGAAACTTACCTCAATATCAAATAACTCCCCTTCTCTCCAAGTTTTCTTGTCTCGATACTGATTTTTCCCGCCTTGAGAATCCTTCAAGTCAATAGTAGTAAGCCTCTTGTAAAAGCCAGGTGATTTTGCAGCACATTTCCTCTTTGGAGCTCTACATTGCAACGCCATGGCTGGAAAACAAGAAGTGTAAAAATAACCCATCAGCAAATCATTGTCAATGCTAAATCCAGTCTAAAAATGTTTGTATTCACCCAACCATTCAAGTATCTGACAAATTGCAATGGCCTGCATGTCCATGAAGAATATAGGCCGACACAGTGCTTGTCTTTTTTTGTTGATTTTTAAAAGCTGCTTTTTACACACCCTGACGGTGAAGCATCTTACAAGGTACAAAGGTAATGCTATATTATTTTATCCCGCGATTAAACTATTTACTTACAACTGTAAGGATATAGGCATATAGGCCTAGACCAACGTTGAATTTTACTGCAAAACTAAAAACTAAAATTTGTCAAAGAAAATGCTCCGTGTATAAGAATTGTGCCTCGGAGCTTTCTGATCTTCTTACGAGTTTATTTTGAGCCAAACAGCAAAGCATGCTGATTTTTTTTCATTGCCTAATTATTTTGGGAATTGAGGAGAAAGTTTGCTTGAAATTTGTCCGTAGGATCTTTAGCGGCCTAGGCCTACAAATGTTTCGGTACAACTAAAAAAACAAAAAAAACATTCATTTCAATTTTCATTTTGCCAACATTAGCCAGGCTCACTGTACCGTTTACGGAGGAACACAAGTAGGGATAATTGACACATGACATGTATCGTCGGTGCCGTTCCCAGGCTGCACGGTACGGGCAAGGCAAGCGCGGCGCTCTGGCCCGCGCCCAGCCAGCCGCCGTGCAGGCAGGCCGGCCACGGCCCCTGCCTAGCCTAGCCTGCTGAAGACTGGGAGTTGTTAACGTTGCGTATAGTGCAGTGTCTCACCCGTCTCGCGCCATCATACCCATTATAAAGTGGTACAGTCCTCACGATAATAAAAGTTTGGGGAAAACAAGCTTGCATGTCAATCACAAATGATTCAGTTTACAGGGTTAAATTTACTGTTACCGTTTATTTTCTACCTTACCTGAAACCACAGCTGAAGGATGGAAACATGTTTATTCTTTTTCTGTGAAATCTTTGCATTCGGGAGCTTTCCTCGGCTCTGACGTGACTTTTTGGTGCGGCAAGACCGCACACACCGCACATTAAACATCGACGCACTCAGTTCCCGCCGCGCGCGTGTGACGTCGACGTGAACGCGCGCGCGTTCACCAAGCGGTCGTCAATAAACAATGACGTCTCAGTAGCTCATTGGACTAGACAAATCACGTGTGTTGCTAAGAGTGGCTGGCCGTAGGGGCTCAAAACTGACAAATGAGACAACTTCTCCATATGTTTCACCTAACTTTGATGTCATTCGGAAGGACCGCAGTGATGGTTATAGTGGAGTCCTTCTTGCCATCAGAAAAGACCTTGTCTATGATCGTGTTGAAGTTGATGTGGATGCCGAATGTATCTGTGCTAAGTTCACCATGGCAAAAGATAAGGCCCTCATGTATCGTCCTCCCAGCAGTGATGCCCAATATCTGAATGCATTGTGCTCCTGTGTTGAACAACTTGCCCGCAAATTCAAAAATGCGGTGCTCTGGATTGGTAGAGATGTTAATCTTCCGGATATTAACTGGGATCTGCTGGCAGTCGATCGCAAGCAATATCCTTGTCGACTGAATGAGAGATTTCTTGAGTTCCTCCAAAACTGTGGATTACAGCAAATGGTCACATATTCAACTAGAGGAGATAAGACACTGGATGTCTTTCTTACCAACCGCCCCTCCTTGGTTAATAAATGTGCTCCTCTGCCAGGTCTCGGCGATCATGACAGTGTATACACAGAATCTAACATTACACCAAAGAGGAACATTCCAGTGAGGCGAAAAATCCATATGTGGAATAAGGCCAGTGTTGATTGCATGAAGGAGGAGTGTCACAATTTCCAGCGTGAGTTTGTGAGGAAGTACAATGTCAACAGCCCAATTCACCAGATGTGGGCAGACATTAAGTCATCATTATTGAAGATCCTTGACAATCGTGTGCCCTCCAAGATGTCATCCACCAGGTTAAACCAACCATGGATCACAAGGAAAGTAAAGCGTTTGACAAGACGTAAAAAGCGTAGCTTCACCAAGGCCAAGAAAACACAGAAAGCCAGAGATTTTCAGCGTTATCACCAACTGAAGAAGACGACAAGATCAGCCTGTAAACGTGCTTATAGTGAGTACATCAACAACATTATTTCCCCCGAGTCAACAACAAGCCCCAAGAGATTTTGGGGGTTCATCAACAGCAAGAAACGTGATAACTCTGGTGTTTCCCCACTGAAGGCGAGAAATGGAGTAACATACACGGACAGTGCGACCAAAGCAAACATACTCAATGATCAATTCTCATCAATCTTACCACAAGAATGGATTGAAGCGAACGTCGTTTCCGTCTTTAAAAAAGGTTGTGAATTATAGACCAATATCACTGACCTCCGTCATCTGCAAGATGCTCGAGCAAGTGTTGCGTAGCCAAATCTTGAATAATCTCGACAAGAATAACATCCTCACCGTTGCACAGTTCGGCTTCAGAAAACGCCGCTCTTGTAATACCAATTGTTGCTTACCCTACAAGATTTTGCCAACACTATAGATTGCAAAGGCCAAGTAGATGTCATAATATTGGACTTCTCAAAGGCCTTTGATAAGGTGCCACATCAAATGTTACGTCATAAGTTCAACTATTACGGTATCCTGGATGGAACTACATGCAAATCTGCAAAATACCTCGGCGTCAACATCCACAAAAACCTGAACTGAACCATCACATCAATATCATAACCAACAAAGCAAATTCTACCAGGGTTTCTTGCAACGTAATATTCATCAGTGTCCTAGATAAACAAAAGAGCTGTGCTACAAGACCTTAGTACGCCCTATAGTTAAATACTCTAGCAACGTCCAAAAGCTGGAGATGGTGCAACGGCGTTATGCACGCTTCATGTTTGGGGACTACAGGACCACCAGCAGTGTCACTGCCATGATCAATCAGCTCCAGTGGCCCACCCTTCAAGAACGGCGTGCACAGGCCAAGGCAGTGATAATGTTCCGAATTGTCAACAACCTGGTTGATGTCCCACATACCTACCTGACACCAACAGTTGCCCTGAGAGGTCACTCCCTCAGATACCTAGTACCATTCACCAGGACTGGGGTATATCGGCAGACATTCTTTCCGGATAGCATCAGAATTTGGAACACCCTTCCACAAGATCTCGTCAACTACACATCGCTTGCAAGCTTCAAGCAGGGTGTGCAGTCAGTCCAGCTCCGCTAAGTCGGCCTGAGTTGTTTTTAGCCGCACCTTATGTTGAAGCTGATCACCTGCACTGTATATATCCTCACCTTGCATGCACACAACAACCGCAGTACGTAATACAGCAGATAGTGGACTGTACTTCCCCGGAAGAGAGAGAGAGAGATGTCCGAGGAACAGGTGATGGCAATTTTCTGACCGTTGTGAAGAAGGCAAGGAAGTCGTCCGTCAAGGGTCCAAGCGTTCTTTATCTTGGGGTGGTTCTGTGCTGATTTCAGTAGGGTCAGGCTTTTAGATGTGAGGCTTTCGGTTATAAAGAAACCGGATCCCTTGAAAAGTCGTTTTGATATGAAGATTACCTCACGACTAGCGTAGCTGCAGAACTGCAGGATGGTACTTTTGGGTTTGGCAGGACGGCCGGGTGAGTGCTGAGGGGTTCCATGTTTTGGGGTCTGTTTCCCCACGCGATGAGCACGGTCAATATCATTACGTTCAAGAGGCTGCTTGGGGTATGGCGTTGTTGATAGTGGTGATACATGCTTCAACAATATCACCAGAAGATTCCGGGAGACCATGAAGGACTTAGCAATTTCGACGATTATATTGCTCTTAATCGTCGATTTCCTCCGACAGCTGGTCATTCTTTTGTTGCAGTTGTTCACATTTTCGATCGATATCACTGATGCATGTCTTTTGATCTCAATGTCTATAGACATGGCTTGGTATAGTTCTTGTTTGATTTGGGTGCTGAGCTTGACTACCAGAGCTTCGGTACAGCATCGATTATAGGTTTGAGAATGTGTGGATCATTGGTTAGAATTGACAGTAAGCTGGACCTCAATTTTGAGTCCAAATCAGCAGATGTGTCAGGTGTATCAGACTCACCGCTGGTAGCAGGCCCAGCTGAAGCCAAAGGTGCAAAGGGATTAGCAAGTGATGGTGTAGATTCATGTGACGTAAGTTTCCCTTGGTCGCCGCCATCTTTGTCAAGATTGACTAATACTGAGGTAGATCGTGACGAAGATCGAAGTTTTTTCCGGCTTTAGAGGCACTCATATTGTCAGAATTGACCAATAATGATCAGTGGGCGTTGGTGTGACTGTGGTTCTGGAAGATTTGCTGATTTGGACATCAAAAATGTCGGATTTCGGTGACTTTTATCGGAGCTGATTTTTTTCAAACCATGTCGGCTCTGCGAGCGCCCTCTATATCACAGGTTAAGGTTGCATACTCTTTCAAGCATGTTATTGTATGTGGCACCAAGTATGTTGCTGACAAGAGCTTTCTTTTAGTAGGGTTTAATGACAATATGCAGCCGGAATTTGGCTTACTGAAAAAAATTTACATTGCGTAAAATTCAGAAGTGTTTTTTGAGATTGAAATGCTAGAAACATTACCATTTAAGGAGGATCTGCAAGCATACATTGTAGAGAAACCAAATCTTGCACGGATTTGAATTCTGTAAACAAGAAAAATTTATGGATCATAACTGTTACAGTGTCATTGTTGGGGATGGAGTTTCATACATACCCATTGAATTTGACCTTGGTGATTTAATTGACCTCCATGCAAAATGTTACATAATATGAAGTGAGGAAGCATGTAAGATATGTGATCGTGGAGGTAGAAATAGGAGTTACATGTACAGTTGTGTACAAACGAGAAGCTGTTACAAAAGTTAATGTGAAAATAGCAATAGCCAGTAGAACCACTTTTTTTCAAATCTGCAGCAAGGCCTCAGACAAGCATTGTGGAATTTGGAAGGCAAAATATTCTCTACG